ACAAACTGACGAATCTAATGCAATTGAAGCAAAACACATAGAAATGCGGTAATCTCGCAAAAAATGTGTCTACAAAAAAATATCATCTACTTTTTCTAAATAATTTCACAGTCCAATATTTTTAAATCAAACATAAACAACCCATTTTATTAGGAATCCAACAACTATGCTTTTTGAAATCATATTGTTCATCCGTCTATACACCAGTACGATAATTATTGAAGGATAGTTCTAGGCTCTTGCAACTTGGTATCTAAATTCCTCTTGGTGTAAAAAAGAGCCCTGTTGAATTCGTAATGTTACTTATGTTATGTTCAAGAACTATAAAAGATCGTTCGATCCCCAGTCGGGATCTGTTTACGATTGGTTGTAGTGAATCAAATCTTGATTTTTGCAGAAGGAAAAATTAAGGACAAAAAAACAAACATTACAGACCTCTACTTTTTAACCTTTCATGCTGAATATCTCAGAAATATTCATATCTACGTCAAAAATGGAAATAGTAAAATTGTTAGCCGTTAAATTTTCTATCCAAACTTGCTTGTACGCTTAGTAAAAAAATCCAGTATGTAGAAATAAAAAGTCGTGAAAAAAATTATAAAAATACCGATTTAGAAATTTGTTTATAGGAACTCGAAAAATATGTGATATCCTTTTTCTATTTTTTCCATAATAATTTTGCAATCCAGCAGTGCAGAAAGTTGGAATATTGCCAAAATTTAGTTGGGTAGAAAATTATTGGTTATATAAATTGTCGATGTTTTAACTATAGAAGAGTACACAAGCTTTTAAATCATTTGAAACATAATTGAGTAATTAGTTAAGTCTGTGAAAATTTTTAAAGGGACTATAAGTCGTATTTTTGAAGTGAAAACTTTTTTAGAGACCTTTTACACGTTTTGGATGAGAAATAGCAAAATTTAAATACGCAAAATATTTTTGTGACCATTACAGCAACGAAAATTAGTCGCAAATTAGCACAGCTCGGGAACGGCTCGACGGATCGTGATGTATGAAGTCTCGTTGTAAAGGGGAGAGGGCAACTGGTAAAAAATGGCGTTGCATCATATTTACGTTGTTATTGGTTCGATTGAAGTGTGTAATGCGATAAATAAAAGGGAATAGGATAACGTTAAGATAGGATTATGTTACGAAGAAAAAACAAACAAGGCTACTAAGAAAAGGGCACTATACAGCATCTTCGTTATTAATGAACGTATGTCATTACGGATGGAAATAGATTTACTATAAGAAAAATTCTGATTTATTAACTTAAAGAAGGCCTCTGGCTGAGTACAAAATAAACAACATCGAAAACTCACATTCTACACAGCAAATGAAAGGGGAAGTATAACGAATCTATTAACAAAAAAACAAACAAGACTACAGTAGAACCTCCATTAACCGAAATAATTGGGGGGGAGGCCGTTTCGGATAACAAGAATTTCGGTTTAAAATAACATTGTTTTTTATAGTACTTTTGGTAAAGTATTTGTATTAAAAAATACTATGAGGTGATTTCGTAATGCTTTCTAATAAGTAAGTACAGAATAAAGCAATAAAATCAAGGAAAATGAACAAGTTTAACAGGTTTTTTTAAAGAAATCTTCTATTTTCTTTTACGTTATCGTTTGACAACGATGTTTTGCAGTTTTCGACAAAATGTAAAGCAATATGAAAAGGCAAAATTTTATACAATGACAACAAAAATTAAGAAAGAGTCGTATCCATAACTAATTATGCCTACTGTATAAAAGTTTTATCCTTAAAGCACTGAAAATCTCGTCGGAGGTCTCATGCTGTCTGTTGTCTGTTGGGTCGTCATCTTCGTCTTCTAATACGCTCAAGTTGTCTGGAAGAAGAACCATATCAATGATGTTCTGGTCGATGAATTCACTTTCAGAATCATCGGATGCTAACCACTCATGTATCTCTTCTTAGTTAATTTCATCACATCCCTGCAATTTTTTTATTAAAAGTTTAATGTCTTCTGTCGTTTCTTTACCATTTTCTTCTTCAAGATCGTCAATCAAAATCCTATTAAAAAGTTAGTTCCAGCATTTTTTCAAAGTTCAAGATTTGATTTCGGCCCAGAACTCAGCACACTGATAAACAACATGTTTCGTTGTTGAACATTTGAGGATATCAGGAACACTTTTGGATTAATGTGTCTCCTGTAATAACAGATATCTTAAGAAGGCTACTCTATAACGTCTTTTGAATATCTCTATTACTCCCTGGTTTACCAGCTGAATTAAACTCGTGTGGCATTCAGTGGCAAAAATCTGACAATTATCACTATTGTATAGATTTGGAGTCAACAAGCAACAATGCTTTGATGGAAGGTTTTTTTTTTTATTTTAAAAAAGATTTTACGCTGGGAAGAATTTATTTTCGAACCATTCTGAAAATAAAGTGGTCGACATCCATGAGCTTTTTTGGCTTCTATAAAAAACTGGAAGTGCTTTTTCTCAAATATATTTTAGAGTTCTTGGTTTTTTTGATTTCCCAACACACATAGGCATCAATCGGTGAGTGAAATTAATGGAATTTACATTTTGCGATAAAAATTTACTTTTTATTGATGAAATTATTAAAACTGTCAGCCGTTTCGGTTAAACGATGTTTCGGTTAAAAAGGTTTCGGTTAAGGGAGGTTTTACTGTACTACCAAAAGTGCACTACACAGGATCTTCATTATTAATGAACTTGTAGATAGTGCAAACACTTCTGACCATGGAGCTGCGCGAAGGCGGAGTCAAAATTCACATAAACCCCAGAAAGGTTCTATTGTAAGTGGAATTATCAGTGTATAATACAGTGCGTTTCGCATGGAAGTGCGGACTAAAGCAAATTTCGTCTACTGCGCCGTGGTCAGAAGTGTTTGCACTATCTCTTAATACGAGATTGACATTCACAATAAATTATTAATTTTATTTATCTCAAATTAATATTTATAATTTGAACGCAATTTAAGAAGTTTTCACATCTGTGGACATTTCCTCAAGTGCAATACCTTCTTGTTTTCTTATTTAAATTTGTATAAATGTTGGTATTATGCAAGAACTGAAAAATTCGCATTTTTTTTTACGGCATTGGAGATAACTTAAAATTTTGCTTACCAAACTTTCATATATTTTAAAGGCTATTCTAATTGCCCATAACCAAATTTCCCAAATATTATTTTTTTTATCACTTTTTTTCGCGAATTTTCTACACTTTTTTAAACTAGAGCTTAAAACACAATCACAATCTAGTTATAAATAACTTTCCGGAGATATTTCTATGACAATTTAAGGTCTAACTCTATAACGCGATTTTAAAGTATCTGTTGTATTTTGGAGATTTTCACATTCTTGAAAAAAAAAACATCGACTGTTCCAGGTCATTCTGGGAACATTTATTTAAATAAAAATGTGAGGTCGGACACACTACAACCAACTTAATAATCTCTTTTGTAGAGATTTAGTTGTATGTATTCTTTTAATTTTATTTAAGTACCAAACCACATACTCTCTTTGGACACTCTGCATATTAAAAATAATAGTGAAGAAACCATAAAATATGAAATAAAAATGAAATTATCGTGGCCTTTAATTCAAAATGACATTAACAACTGTGATTTTACCGCACGGAGTGCCTTATCTCAAACTAAATATTTTCTATACTTGTAGCAAAAAACTTCTTTGAAATAATTTAGGATATGTTGGAGAATTTTAGAGTTCGGGAAGAATGTCAAAAGTCTAACGATAGTAGTTGGTATTATATGGTATATTTTATATCGATTATAATTCTACAATACAAAATTAATACAATCAATAGATTTATATAGGTATTTTATACATTTATAAAATGTTTTGTTAGTATTAACAACTATATAATTGCAAACACATAATAAATCTTTAATTTATTTTTCTTACGTCATAATTTTTAAGTTATTATATAGTATAATTATTTATTATTGTAAATATTCAAGATCTGACTAAACTTACACCATTCAGAAATATGAAACCTATTATCTAAAATTTCATATTTAAGCGTTTCTAAACACGTATTCGCAAAACATCCAGACAGTCCTAAAATATACTGAATTTGAAACGATTAAAAGACTTTCAAGAATCAGATAGTCAACGACATACTTTTTTAAATCTGCTTCCAAATTAACAAAAACTCTTTTTGTTGCACGATAGAAAAAGAGTGTTGCTAAATTTACTAAATTAGTACTATTGAATAGTCTGCAGTACACATATTTTATCCACGCGGTTGTGTTACTTTATACTGTCTGCAACAAGAATATCTTATTTAGAAAATTTTTAAAATGTACATAAACTGTATCGTATGTAAACCGATAACTGATGCATATTGTGCATAATGGTAAATTGACAAAACATGTACAACTCAATTTGTCAAGTTGATAGCTTCGTGGGCTGGCTGGCTCCCACGAACCACACGCCAATCATAGAAATGTTTCAAATGTAGCAGTATAGAATCAAAAGTAATCCCTCGTTCATTGATCCTTCTCAGAAGTTGTAAAAATGCTAAAAAGTTGAGCATCCATACAATCAAGTTTTAACATCACTTGTTGAAAAAACTATATCGGACTTTCATGAATCTTTGGCGTATGATGAACTATTCTAATGCATGTGTATTTTCGTAAAATAGTTTTGATTTCTTCGATTCTCCTGTATAAACCAGGAATCTCATATCAGTCTTATTATAGATTCAGTCTTTTAACAGTGCTGTGCGCAAGTATTCTTGATTTTTTGTACATTTTTTGGTAAACAAAAATTAGTGAATATGTTTTGAAAACTAATCATTTAAGTATGCACGTTGAAAATAATTCTTGAACGTTTCAATGATCTGTATAAAATATATTTAGGCTTATGATATGGTTAACTCACTTTGGTTAGATTAGGACTGTCCTCTAAAATAATATTTAAAAACATAAAAGAATCTGTATAAAGGTACAAAAACGAACACTGGCATTTTACTTTTTCTTACTTTTTCCAAGGGTGAGAGTGTGATGGCTCTGACCCATCTGTTGGTACTGCGATTTTCGCCTGTTGAATTCTACAATTTCGTCTTCAAGCTTTTTGCGGGAATCTTCTATTTTCTTCTTTTCCTCAGTATGGTCTTTCTTTAGTTTATCAAATTTGGCATGTAACTAAAATATTGAAAGATTCGTTTAATGGAAATTCATATTATGAATTAGAAAAAAAATGTAGACAAAACATCATCAACTTCAATCTTTAAGTGACATAACATTCTAAAAAACAAACATTGATTCGAGAATTACTGAAATTTAATATATCCATTATCCATATAACCTTAAGAAAGAGGTTCCCTAAAGGCGTTCCGCAGAACCATAGGGTTTCATAGAAGGGATGTACAAACTTCGGTGTAGGTATATGACATTATTTAAATTGGCATAATTAAAATATAAATAAAATGCACAGTATCAAGAAGCCATTATGTTTTGCATCGTCATGTTCTTATCGTGAAGAAAGTACCATCCGATTTAAAGGAAATCTTTATCGTTCAAAGTTTCAATTATATCTATTCTCATCCACACAAATAAAGCTTTTTTAATACAGTAGACTCCCTCTATAACGAGAACTGACATGGCAGATTAATTACCTCGTTATAAGACGATCTCGTTATATCAGACAACAATAATACTGTGTGCATATATATGAATATGTAGTTTTCTAAAACATTAACTTCCTATAGTGAAGCCATTCGGAGCAATATAAGATGGTAATAAATATTGATTACAACTAAAAGATGGCAAAGTTTCTGTACCTGACAATGCATATGCTGAACTCATAAAGCTATTTAACTCCGACAGTATTCAATGACTAACAAAAATGTTCAATGACTTATATTTAAACGGAGTAATACCAAGATCATTGTTGAAGTGAACGATTATTGCTCTACCAAAGAAAACAAAATCCGTATCCCGCAATAATTTCCGGACCATCAGCTTAATGAGCCACATTTTACAGTTTTTCTAAAAATCATACATCACAGGATATATAGACTATGCGAAAAAAATCAGTCGTTTTGGAACGCAGTGGGTACGAGAGAGGCTCTATTTATCGTACAAGTGCTACTTCAACGATGTAGAGAAGTGAATTGCGATATTTATGCATGATTCATTGATTACCATAAAGCGTTAGATACAGTAAAGCACGACAAGCTCATGGAGATATGAACAAATATTGGAATAAACACCTGTGATCTAAGAATTTTTATAATTACTGGAATAAAACATCGGCTATCCGTATAGAGGAAGGAGAATCCGATATCAAAATCAAACGTGGGGTCCGACAGGGAGGTATAGTATCACCCCTGATGTTCAACATCAGGGGTGATACTATACTCTGAGGAAATCTTTCAAGAACAGTGTATGATGTTGAAGGCGGAATTCAAATTAACGGAGAATTAATCAATAACGCGTATGATACGGTGGTATTCGCTGGCAGTAATGAATCCCTCCAGGAGTTAATAAATAGAATCAGAGTAGTGAGTCAGATATATGGACTTTCACCATTGGAAAAATCAGTGTGAATGGTCAACTAATAGAAGGAGTAAAAACATATATCTACGTTGGTGCGAACGTCAATATTCCTTCGAAATCAAATGTAGGATAGAGAAAGCAAGATCAGCATTTAAAATAATTGCTTCTTCTTCTTACGGTGCCTATCCGTTCCGGATGTTGGCGATCAACATGGCTATCCTAACTTTGCTTGCTGCTATTCTAAATAGTCCGGTTGTCGATGTATTAAACCACTTTCTCAGGTTTTGAAGCCAAGATATTCTTCTTCTCCCTGGTCCTCTCTTTCTAAATACCTTGCCCTGAAGAATGAGTTGCAACAAGCCGTATCTCTGTTCGTTCCTCATAACATGGCCAAGATATTCTAGTTTGCGCTCTTTGATGGTGTTAATAATCTCGCATTCCTTGCCTATTCTACGTGGGACCTCAACATTAGTCACACGATCCACCCATGAAATTCTTAAGATACGTCTGTAACACCACATCTCGAATGCCTCGAGTTTTCTTAAGGAAGCTTCGGAAAGTGTCCAGGCCTCTACTCCACATAATATGGTAGAAAATACATAGCATCTAATGAGAGAGATTTTGGTAGCAAGTGGTATATCATGACTTCTGAAAAGAGACTTTATCATTATGAACGCTGATCTCGCTTTTCCTATGCGTTGTTTTATTTCACTGGAGTGATCAAATTGGCTGTTAATGTTGGTACCAAGGTATGTGTAGCTGTCCACTCTGTCAATTGGATGTTGGTTAACTGGTAACCAAAAGCTGTGTATTTAATATTTCGCGCTTACTGACTACCATGTACTTTGTTTTCTTCGTATTAAGATCAAGTCCGTGTTCTCTACTTATATGTGATATGCGCGACATTATTCTTTGCAAACCGTCCAGACTATCTGCAAAAACTACTGCGTCGTCGGCATATCTAATGTTGTTTAGACGCATTCCGTTGACTAATACGCCTTCTTGTAGTTCTCCCAGCGCTTGCTCGAAGATATATTCAGAGTATATATTAAATAACACCGGGGACAGAATGCATCCTTGCCTCACTCCTCTATCTATGGAGACTGCCTCTGTTAATTGATCATCCACTTTAATATTGGCTGTTTGGTTGTAATATAAATTATAGATGATTCTCAAGTCCCTATCATCTAACCCCACTTCTTTCAAGATGTTTAGAAGTTTATCATGTTTTACTCTATCAAATGCCTTTTTGTAGTCGATAAAACAAATATACACATCGCAGTTAACATTCCTGCATCTTTGCATAAGCACTTGTACAGCGAATAGAGCCTCTCGGGTGCCTAAGGAATCGCGGAATCCAAACTGCGTCCATGATACTTGTTCTTCGCATTTTTATATATTCTGCCGTATATCACTTTCAAGAACGTTATAAGTAAGTGGCTCATTAGGCTAATTGTTCTGTAGTCTTCGCATGTCTTGGCATTTACTTTTTTTGGTGTGGTCACGAAGGTCGACTTTAACCAGCTTTGCGGTATTTTTCCAGTTACATATATGTTGTTGAATACAGTTGTTATCCATTGTATTCCCTGTTCATCCATAAGTTTAAGGAATTCTGCACAAAACTCGTCAGGCCCTACCGCTTTACCATCTTTAGTTCTTTTAATAGCTGACGTGACTTCTTCAATGGTAATGGGGGGTCCTGTTTGGCATTCAGTGTCTTCGATGGTAGTCTGCCTTTCATCTGCAAAAGTTACTTCCACATAATTCTTCCAAGTATCTAGTTTTTCTTCCACAGTTAACAGTGGTTTGCCTTGGTTATCTGCCAAACACCCAACTCTTCTAGGTTTGTATAAGCGTGTGGCTTCTTGAACTTTTTTGTGCATATTAAATGTATCGTTTTTATGTTGCTATTGATGTATTTCCGAACACTGTTTTCTTAGATGTGTATTCTTAGCTATTCTAATAGCTTTTTTGATCTTTTTATCGATTCTTTTGTATAATGACATGTCTTGATCTTTGAACTTTCGCCTCTCTTCCATCATATCTAGAATCTCATTTGTCATCCACGATTTCTTCTTAATTTTTGGTGATTTGAGAAATTTCTCTCGTATGTCTTTTGAAACTGTATGTAACTTTTCTAGCTCCTGGTCCATTACATCCGATTAAATAACGGTATTCAAATTGTTCTGTATATACCGCTTTACACTATGTTCTCTGTGTTGGTCTTTTAATAGCTTGATGTCGAATTTGGGATTGACACTACGTCTAACCTTGTTTAGCCTGAGCCTAATTTTGCCAATCAGTGGGTTATGGTCTGATTTGGTATCAGCTTCTGGGTATGTCTTGACTGATGTTATGCTGTTCCGGAATCTTTTATTAATCAGAATGTAATCTATTTGATTTCTCACTATGCGGCCTGGAGTATCTTGAGGTGATTTCCATGTGTATAATCTTCTGTGTGGGAGTTTGAAGTAAGTGTTAGTAATCACAAACTCTTCTTCTGCTACAATAATTACTAAGCTATTTAAATGCCATGATTTATCTTTCCTATACTGTTACATATTTCCTATACTATTGTACCGAGTTGAGTCATGGACTCTCCCAGACGCTACCTGCAAGAAAATTGAGGCTTTCGAAATATGGCTTTATCGTCGAATCCTGAAGATATCCTATACCAACCACGTTACTAACCCGAAGGTTTTATTAAGAAGGCAAAAAGGAAGAGTTGTTAACCACAATAAAAACAGCCAAAATCAAATACCTCGGTCACATCATGAGAAAAGTAGAAGGAAAACGAGGACCAGGAATGCGAAGGATTTCCTGGCTGAAAAATTTATGTACGTGACCTAACACAACAACCACAAATCTTTTCAAATCAGCAGTATACAAAATACAGATTGCCATGATGGTCGTCAACATCCGAAACAGATAGGCACTACAAGAAGACTTTAAACTAAAAGAATCATGTCATATTATTTGAAAAAGAAGACGTTCGACCAATGTGTACTACCATTCATGACTTATGACGCCGAAACACTTTCCTTAACCAAGGGCACAGCAAGCTGGGGGCAGCCAAAAAAATGGAACAGTTGTTACTTGGACTGACTCCCACACGATGGACAGTTGACGTTAAAAAAATTGTTTGGAACTGGCTGCAGAAAGCTCAAGATCGACAGAATTGGAAGAAATTAGGGGACATATATTCAATTTTGGACGCAGCACTAGGTGTGGAGTTGAATGCTGTCCTAAAAGGACAATCAATTGTTAGATCCTAACAAAATACTACTTTTACTCAAAATGAGAAACAATCATCTGTCGAAAGTCAGATCTGAACCATGAAAATTTTTTAATAACTCCAATTGTAATGAGAATGTAATGATAATGTATGTAATTGTAATGAAGATGTAGAATTTTAAAAATTCCTTGGACAGCACGAAAAACAAATGAAGAAGTACTAGCTAGACTCAATTTAGAAAAAGAACTATTGAGAACAGTCAAAAGAAGAAAAACCAGTTATTTAGGGCATTTGTTGCGCAACGAGAAATACTACATCCCTCAGTTGATAATAAAAGGCAAAATAGAAGGAAAGCGAGGAATTGGAAGAAAAAAATTGTCCTGGTTACGTAATATCAGAAACTGGACAGGACTTGGATTTGAGGAACTCTTAAGAGCAGCTGAAGATAGACAAACGTTTGCCACCATAACCGCTAACCTCCATTGATGGAGATGGCACTTGAAGAAGAAGAATTGTAATGAAGACTCGCAAAGTTAAATCTACAAACTTACCTTGTAAAACACGGAGAACAGGAAAGCTATTAAAAATTATAAGAAGAAATCGCCTTAACACCCACTGCGGCAAAACGTCTGCCATGGAACTAATCTTGTCTTCACACCTTTATACATCCTAGTTGAAAGCGTGAAAATAAGAATGTATAGGATAACCAATAAAAGAATCATTAGACCCAATTCTCGATTTAACTTCGATGAAAGTCAATATTGTAGCATGGCGACATACCATGAAAGTATAACTTTGCAAATGAGTTTACTAAAAAACTTCAAAGACGAACAGGGCAAAAAGTATATTGTTAAGGTAAAAAAGAATGTCATCAATGACCAAACTTCAAAAAAACAACGGCATATATTAGTTACGGAAACAACCATGACTGACCATTTTGGAAATTTCAGTGGCACTGTCAACATATCCTAGATCAGTTGTACCGAATCCCTCTACTTTGTATTATTGCTGCACCAGGCACAAAAAAAATACCAAAAAAATCGGATAATCTACTAAAAACTGTAGAGCTTGACTGGAAAAAATTGTAAATTTAAAGGTCATCAACGGGCTATAGGATCGATTCATAAATCAAACACTACTATCAATATTATGACATTATGAGTTGATACTCTCAGAAATTAAAATTGGAATCAGTGACACTGAACACCTTTCGCATTGACCTGAAAAATGATTCTGCAGTATTTGAAAAACCAATCATTCCAGTTTACTTCTCGACTTACCCTAATTAGTTTAGTTTCCTTAAAACTCATTTTTTTGTAGTCAAATCAACAACAAACAATTTTGGTAGACATGGTTATGTTTCCCAAAAAAGCTTCCGTAACCGAAAAGAAAATGGGAACCGTTTACCAAAACTACCTTCATTAAACTCAATAGAGATCAATAAATTAAAAAGTACTTGACAGGCTTAATCAACTAGAAAAAAATTGTATAGAATTCTACGAAAATATACTTCGGCTCAGAATCAATTTCATTACCTCTTTCTCGGCTTCTTTTAATTCAGACTCCTTTTCTTTGACTCTCACTACAAACATCTGCCTCATTTCGTCTTCCTTCTGTTGCAGTTCCTGCAGATGGGTGGATCTTTTGGCTTCGAATGTCTGCTGAAAACTAACTGGCTTGTTGTCTTCATCTACATCACTTAGTCCCATTTGCTCAAGACGTTTCTTCCTGTATAATTCGTAATGTCTGCAATGGGTTTTTTCACGCATATCTTCCATGTTTGTGCGAATCAGCATTTCGCGAAGTTTCACAAAATCGCAGTGAGATTCATTCTGAAATTAAAGTTATGTTAAGAATATACTAAACGTTTTAATAACAATCTTCTAAATTAACAATTTGGATTAACAATCCTAATATTATAAAGGAAGACTAATGAGTCCAGATAAATCAAAAAGTGGGAATTACACAAAAATCATAATCTGCGTTATCATTCAATTTATAGAATTATATCAAAACGTTTAAGTCAAACGTACGTTGTCGATGTAATCGTGAGCTCGAATTCGGCCAGATAAAAATACTACACTTACCTCGACTTGAACAGTGCCCCATGGATATTGCCTCGCTCTGACCATCTTATTTCCTACTTTAATAAAGTCGGTGCTGCCGATAACTGCAAAAGGTACATGAGAGTTCATGGTGGAATTGATATCAGAAACGGATTCGTCATCTACTGGAAATTCATAGATTGAAACTCCATTGTTTTGTAATTCAGCGATGATTTTAGATTTGAATTTTTGTAGTTCTGTTTTCGATATCGTGTCAGCTTTGGCTATTATGGGAATGACGTTAACCTACAAAAGGAATAAATATGGAATAGTTTATCAAATAATTTCTTTTGATTATTCATAATTATTTTTAACATTTTTTCACCTAAAACCGTTATTCATAAGAATGGCTGTATAACCTAAGTATGTATAATTAAGTTTTCCTTCTCGAAATTTTAAGTACATCTTTGTAAAACCGGTCGTATTCGCACAAATTAATCACAAAGGAAGCAGGCAACATGATTCGGCGTTTTTATATGTGCAATTCTCTTGATTAATTTTTAAAAAAAACCATAGTTGCCTTTGTTTTGAATCATATGAATGCAAAATCGGTTTCAAATAATTGTTCTGATATTGATGGAAAGCTATTTTCTTGTGACATTTTAAAATTTACAGATTATTTTGTTGTGTTACTTGGTAATGAAAAAAATGTGGAACAGTAGGCGGTACTGTAGATTAGCGCGAAACTTCATAATGTGTATTTTTAAAATTTAAATATTTTTAAACTTTAAAAGTAATTTTACTATTTATTAATTTTTATATATTTAAAAAAAATCAATAAATTATTACGTTTGCTCCTAACGCCACCTGTAACGTATTAACAAAGCATACGTTGTTACTTATGACATGACAAACCTGTCAAATTCAGACCAAATATTGATAATAAAATATAAATAAATATCAGTTGCTTGTAAATTTAATTATCCTATAAACTAAATAATATGTTTAAAAATAATAATTGGATTTATATGAAATTATTTTAAAACTAGAAATATATAAATTTAAACAGATGATTCAATGTTGTTATTAATTGGATGACATTTATGACTTTCAAATTTTGACAATTGTTACGAATCAAATCTTTTAGTGACACACATTCTTTTAATTTTTTACTTCTCCTTTAATGTCTATATTTTATTAGTTATTTTTTATGCAGTTTTTACTTTAAACCTGTTTAGAGTAAATATATTATGAATGATGACTAGAAACGAATGGATCAAGAGTAGTGAATCGATGTAATAAACCATAATTTCGTCACGCTACCCGTGACAACGCTATATTATACCGCTAGTTCTGTTACCCGTGACAACGACATATTGTGCCGCTAGTTCAGTGACGCTCGCCTCAGCATTTTACTGTAGAGAGAAAAATAATACGTCAGTATAGAAGCTTCGCTTAAAAAATCTTCTAATAATTTAATTTTATTTGCCTCTTTAATATTGAACTTTTAAACTTATATATTATACATTTTAAAGTAGATAACTTTAAAATGATATTGTTAATATTTTTGAGGTGCGTTCTTGGATGACTTTATTGGAAGATAAATCATTCGTTTACATAAAATTAACTTAAATTTGAGAATACCCGTCAGAAAAAGCATAGCATTTGATTTATCTTCAGAAAACAAACACGTCCAACCATGCCAGTAAAATTCTCTTGTTAGTAATTCCATTGTAAATCAAGATGAAAACCCAGAAAAAAATAAAAAGGATCATTATATTATACCGATATATAACATATTTGATTTGACATATAGTTTTATATGTATATGACTACAAAGCATAAATGACGTACACTAGACTCGCGATTATCCGAGTCTCGACTAACCGAGCCTCTGGATTAGTAGCCGAGGTAGTAATTAAAAAAACCAATTGTGTAATAAATTAACTTGGAGAGTGAGATCAAGTGAAAGCATCTGCGTTAGCTATTGGTACGCTGAAAAGATGAGTCACTATACTTCTACTAGCCGGCTCCCCACCCACTCCCCCATCCGTCAGTTTGACTCATCATAGCTAGCTGTTCGATTCGTCCCACTGTAAGCTCCTACAAGTTCATTAACGTCTTCTCTTTGTGTAGTTTCTACAGAACTTGAAATGCAATATAAATTTAAAACGTAAACGAGTTTTGGTTTATTTAGAAACAAAATTAAGTGCTATAAAGCGCTTGGATAAGGGTGAGTCAGTAAAGAAGGTTGCTGCTGATCTAGGTGTTGGAGAAGTGATTGTGGGAGATTGGAGACGTAAACGAAAAGATATTGAACAATGAGTTAATAAACGTGAGTGGTGGAAGTGATTTGTTGCGGAAAACTATGAAGAAAGAAGAATACGAACAGACTTCTGAAGCCTCATTTTTATGGTTTTCTAATCTTTGAGGTTTGGGAAGTTCAATTTAGTGGCCCCATGCTTTAAGGTAAGGCTGTCAAGTTTCACAAACGGTTTAAGGATAGCGAGGAAAATTTTACTCCAAATGATGGTGGGTTCGACAGATGGAAGAACATATATGGCACCTGACAACTGAACATTTCGGGTGAGAAACTTTCGGTCAATTCATCTGAAATTGAGCCGTTTAATTTAAAATTGACAGATCTCATTTTAGAACATGGCCTCACGTCAGACCAAATCTTCAATTGTGACGAAACGGGTCTCAATTTCAGAATGCTTCCAACCAAAACACTGGCAGCCCAAAGTGAAAAAACTGTGCTTGGATACAAAAGAAGCAAAGAAGAAGTCCCTACTATGAAGACATCTCCTTATTGGAAAATCGAAGAATCCAAGGGCTTTTAAAAATATTTAAGCAAACTGCCTACCCACCATGTACAGGAATCAACGTAGTCCATGGATGGATTGCCAAATTTTTAAAGATTGGTTTTTTGGACGAGCTATTTGCGTTGTTGAGGGCTACTTAAAAAAATAAAAACCTACCAAGAAAAGCTATTCTTCTTTTGGACAACCTGCCATCCCATCCAGATGTAAGTTCGTTGGCTAGCGGTGACATTAAAGTGGTTTTCTTGCCACCAAACGTCACATCTCTCAACCTCTGGACAAAGGAGTTTAAGAGGCTATGAAAGGATATTCTCCATGTGTTGTTGACCTGGTTGAATGAGGAAATGATTGTGACAGCAACACTTAAAAGATCACCGTTAAGGATGTGTCTTACTGGATAGCTTCAGCGTGGGCTGATGTGAGAGTAACAACTTCGCAAAAGTCATGGCGAAAGCTTTTTCAAATTGAAGCGAAAAGTGATAGAAAATTTAATAATAACTGGATAGAAAATTTAATAATGCTGAAATGGTAGACCTCGCTAATCAGTTCTGCTAATCGGAACTGCCAATAAATGATAAAGACGTCAACGAATGGATTATGCAAGATCAGCAAATGGAACTGACTTATGATGCAATCGCCGATATGGTTATCAACCCACACAATGCACTGAAGATGACACAGATGAGATAATCGAGAAAATATCTCACTCCGAAGGATTGAAGGTGACTGGAGCTACCCTCGCCTACATTGGGTAACAGAAAGAGTCAACTTCATCTTCAGCGTTAGCTGAACAGCTTCAGCGTTAGCGTAACATTGCAGCGTCAACACGAGGCCAGAAGTTAAAGCAGAAATCTATCAAAGAATTTTTTAATACATGACAGTGATCCAGTACGTAAATGTTTTCCTATCAATATATTTTAACTATGTACTCTGTATATTGGTTTATATACTTCAATTGTACATAATAAACTAATTACATACGTCATAACTTTTAAATTTTTCGTTTATTTTAAGAAAATACCCGATCTCCGCATTATCCGAGTTTTTCGGTATCCGAGATATGCGCGGTCCCAATTAGCTCGGATAATCGCGAGGATAATCGATAATATCGATGCTTTCCTTTGAGGTTGCTTTAACCGCTAAGGCATCAACCTTTTCATTACCTGAAATACCTATATGTGATGGTATCCAGAGGAAGTGAATGTTTACATTTTTGTTTTGTAAGTAATGAAGCATAGATTTTATGTTTTGGATGATTTTATGTGTTAAATAGACTTGTTTGTTGCTTTGGAGTACTGATAATGAATCTGAGATAAACAGAAGATTAGTATCTGTATATTTTTGACAAAATTCAAGTACTTTAAAATTGCAATAGCTTCACCAGTAAATACGCTGCAAAAAGTAGGTATTCGTATAGCATATTCGATATCATCAGCCATTTTGTCTTAAAATTTATCTTTTGTGAAAATCTTAACATAATTGTCATATTTTGATAGAATTTATATATAATGTAGGAACGAGGGTAAGATTTGTGGTATTCTTTGGGTAAGCTACTAGAGATGTATTAATAATAGGAGTATTAATTGTCCACGGGGGTTCAGTTGGGTATGTAGATAGCGAGTATGTCAACAAATTGGTATTATATCCACAATTCATTACAAGTTCTTTAAAGGTTAAATATCTTGATTGTCTGTTACTTTTGTGAGGGATGTTACTTGTATGTAGGAGTAGGTAGTTAGGGTTGTTAATATTGCTATATAGTTTAGCAGCATATCTTAGTGTGGTATATTGTCTTCTTATAAACAAAGGTGGTTCATTTAGTGCAGCTTGAAGACTTGCCACCGGACTAGTACGGAAGGCACCCAGCACAAGTCTCAAAGATGCACTTTGGATAACGTCTAAGACTTTTTTTTTACTAGCAGTAGAATAGCACATTGCACCGTAATCTAATTTACTACGGATGAGTGATTTATATAAATATAGCAGAGTAGTTGTATCAGCACCCCAATTTCTGTTAGAAAGTATTTTAAGGAGGTTTATTTTTGGCTGACAGGATAACATAATTGGAGGATAAGGCTAATTTTTTAATATGGTCTGTCTTTGTGAAACCACTTTTGTGGTACCATATTTCCAGTTTGTGAAAAAATGGCTGAAGGATTTTTGTCGCGAGAGAGATATTACAACTTCTAGTGTAAACTATTAGATCGTCGGCATACAAATTTGCTTTTAATGGTAACTCTATTTCTTGTGCAATATTATTAATAGCTAATAAGAAAAGTGTAGGGCTTAGAGTGGTACCTTGTGAAATTCCATTTTGTAAGTGCTCAGTCTTTGAATTGATGCCATTAACACGAACTTGAAATGTTTTGTTACTCATAAAAATTTTAACAAAGGCTAGAAAGTTTTCTTGTACGCCGTAGCTAACCATTATTTTCAGAATGCGATGTCGCCATGAAGTATCAAAGGCTTTTTTATATCGAAAAA